GAGATTATTTCTGATCTGAGTTCCTTTATAGCTTTATGGAGTGGTTTCTTCATTTCAATTGCTATCATTTCAGATGTTTCAAGTATATGGCTTATATTTTCTTTTATGTTCATGTTTCATAGCCTTGTTTGAGATGTGCTGGAGGTTTGTGATTGCATTTTGCTCTTTTGTTTTGTCATTTTCCTGCATTCTCCTGGGGCAGTTAAGTGTAAAGTCTCAGTTGTTTCATGGATTGAAGATAGCTTTTTGTACAGGAAGTTCCCCCAGTTGAGTGGAGAATGTTAAGTAGGCCTTATCGGGTTCCTAGTGGCACTTAAAGGTTCCCCAAATGGGGGGAGAATACTTGGTGGACCTTCAGCATACGCCTATGTGGCTCACTAAAGCTCCCAGACCGCTTGAGGTCACTGGGCAAGGCCCTACCAGGTTCTGAGTGGTGTACCAAAGCTGAATGGTAGATGGAATACACTGGGCAGGCCCTCAGCTCATGCCATATGGCACACCAATGCTCCCCCAGCTTCTTGAGGTCTCTGAGTGGAACCCTACCAGGTCCTGCACAACATACTAAGGCTAGGTGTAGTTTTCTGTGCAAGCCTTTAGCTTGCACCATGCAGCCATTGAAGTTACCCAGCTGCTTGGGGTCACTGGATGGGCCAAAGCAGGACCCAAGTGACAAACCAAGGGTCCCTGACTTTTGGAAGATACTGGGCAGGGCCCTACCAGGTTCCAAGCAAGGTCCTATGACCGCACAGCTAGGCAGAGTTCGATGTGGAGACCTTCAGCTCATGCCACTCAACACATGACAGCTCCCTAGCTGCCTGGGTGTCACTGGGTGGGGCCCAAGCAGGACCCCAGTGAGGAACCAAAGGTCTTGAATTGTTTGGGAACCCTGAGCAGGGCCCTACCTGGTCTCTCTTTTTCAAGAGTATTGTAATTTTCAATGTACAGATCTTTTAGTTCCTTAATAGAATGGTTCCTAAATATTTCAATTTTTGGATGTTATTGTGAAATGCATTGTTCCCCTAATTGTTTGAGTACAGGAATGTTTTTGATATTTGAGTGATGACTTTGTATCTAGCTATGCTATTGAATTTGGTTATTAACTCTAGAAGTCTTTTGGTGGCATTTTTTGAGGTCTTCTATGTAAAATATCATGTCATCTGCAAATAATAATAGTTTAACTTCTTCCTTCCCTGTCTTTATCCCTTTTATTTTTCTCTCTTATCTAATTGCTCTGGCTAGCATTTCCAGAACTATACTGAATAGGAGTGGTGATGGTGGACATCTCATGTTATTCTTGATTTTAGAGTGAAAGCTTTGAGTTTTGTCCATTTAGTATGATATTGGTTGTTGGTTTGTCAGAGACAGCTTTTATTAGATGAAGGTAAAGACCATCTATCCCAATTTTCTGTAGGGTTTTTATGATGAATGAGTGTTGGACCACATCAAAGGTTTATCTGCACCTAATGAGATGATTACGTGATTTTTTGTTTGACTCTGTTGATACAGTATATTACATTTTTTGATTTGTGTATTTAACTTACAATTAATGATAATGGTAATAATGCCAGCTAATGTTTATGGAGTCACCTTACAGGCACAGTGCAAAGCGTTTTATTTACTTATTACTTAAATCTCATCTTAATCCTGTGAAGTACTGTAATCTTTGTCTTCATCTTACAAAGTATGAAACTGAATCTAATTTGTGCCTGAGTTACACATATGTCCCAGGCAACATAACCAGTAAGTGATACAGTCAGTTTTTACCCAAATCTGTCTTAATCCAGAGCGAAAGCTCTTAGCTGTCAGGCAATACTGTTTGTGAAATCCAGTGAAAGTTAATACTATGGCAATGAGCATAATGTTCAAGTATGAAGTCTCAGCCATTCCAAAATACATCATTAAAATAATATATTGTGATGGTTGATTCATCGTGTCAACTTGAGAAGTTTAGAAGCAGAACTAAGTAACTCAGAAGTTCTACATCCTGGGGTATAGAGAACATGTCCCAAGGGTGCCTGTTTAAGCCCTGGGATGTTGAAAGGGTTGATTGTATCAATTTGAGAAGTGTAGAAGTTTAACTATGTGACTCAGCAGGGGACCAGGATCCAGCACTTTGTAAACACCCTCAGCTAGTGCAAGAGGAGCATACAAAGATGGTGTGGGTATAAAAGATTCCCCCTAGGGTGAGTAGGCTGCATACCATACAAGGGAGGTAGAGAGGCTTGCTCTTCCCACCTTTTGCTCTTGTTGCTTTTGCTATCTTCTCCTGCCTTGAACTGTTGCCCCTGTGCCAAGTCACCCTGCCATGGAGCTAACTGATTAAGAACTGAAACCTTCACAAACTGTAAGCTAAATAAACCTTTCCTTCCTTAATTTAGCTTCACAAACTGTAAGCTAAATAAACCTTTCCTTCCTTAATTTTGGGTGTCAAGTATTTTGTCTCAGCAACAAGAGAAAACTAACAAAGACATATGTCATGCTAAGTAATCCAAATTTAACAAATTTTTGAGATCCGAGTCCAGTGATGCTTCCCTATAATGCACAGTACTTCCTCTTGAAGGAAAAGAAGATATTTTTAAATGATGGAAGTTTATCCAAAAAAATGTCAAACTTATTAACCAGGAGGCTCCTCACATATTACTGCTAACATGCATCAAAAATGTAGTAGCCTCTAGTTCTAATCTGCAACTCCAATTCCAGCATTCTTGGGTTCTGTGTACAAAGTCTATATAACAGGAATTTGGAAGTAATTTTCACAGTATTGAAATAGTATAAATAAACACTACCATGTGAACTGAGTTAACAGCTAATCTCAACTATAATACCTTCTTCCCTGCTACCTGTAATCCTGATTCCTGTCTTGACTTTAAGAGCTGCTCTCATCCCAATCCAATTCTAAATCAGCAGTTCCCCAACTTTTATCTCAGCTCCCATTTATAGTCTCATAAACTACTGAAAGTCAAAATTCATTTTTATATATGTAGGTTATACACATTTACAATTCAATTAGAAATCAAAACCGCTGGGGGTGGTGGCATACACCTGCAATTTTTTTTTCTTTTTCTTTTTTATTGGTACCGGGGATCGAACTCATGACCACACCCTTGCAAGGCAGGTGCTTATGCCACTGAACTAAATTCCCAGCCCCCATACCTGTAATCTTAGAAGTTGGGAGGCTGAGGCAGGAGAATCACAGCAAGTTTGAGGTGAGCCTGGGCAACACAGTGAGTGGAGAGCAGCCTGAACTACATAGCAAGACCCTATCTCAAAAACAATGATTGTAAAAAATTAACATGTTGCTTCTAATTATACATTAATAAATACCACATTTTTACAACAAATAACTATCTTCTCCAAAACTATTAGTGAGAAAAGTGGCATTGCTCTTAATTTTTCACATTCAGAGTAACAGAAGAACAATGGATTCTCACTGTACAATCTATTGTAATTTGATGCTTTGGTTGAATACATGAACAACATTAGGCTTAAATAAATATGCAGATGGGAAAATGAAGAGAAATTTAATAGCCTATTTGAGTAAGTAGATGTTTTCTTTGATATTACACCAAAATTTGATAGAAATAACTTAAAGGTTACTATAATGTAAAATATGTCATCATCATCAGTGAGATTTTTAATTTTTTCCATTAAAATCCATGGATACAACATTTTTTATGATGAATGTATCTTTCACCCTGCATTGGTCACTTGGGAAATAGTGCTTAACAGAATTACACAGCCCTAAAGCAGGTATGAACACACTGCATTATACAACATCAAAAATCCCATTTTGGGGCTGGGGATTTAACTCAGTGGCACAAGTGCCTGCCTGGTAAGCATGAGGTCATGAGTTCAACTCCCAGTACAAAGAAAATCATATTTTTAATATTACCACTGATTTTTATCAGAAAAGTCTAGGAACTGGAATTCTAACAAGTTCACAATGCCACATACAGTCTTCAAAATTTCTAATTTTCCTTTGAATCCTTAAATTTTTTCATTAGCAGCAAATAGTCACTAGTTTTCCTGAAGTAAAAGGCTCACTTTACCTTTTTTATCTTTTAAAAAAGGTGTACCAAATTCCCAAGTCTGAATAACAATGGCTTGTCTGTCTGTGGTTATTTCAGGTAAAAATTATGTTCTAATAAAAAGTGGCCAACACAGCTCTCAAACTATCACCTAAGCACTTTTCTTCAACACAATCTTCATACTTTGGTATACACAGAATTGTTTTACGTGTATCTTTCCTTCTGTCCCGCAGAATACTAAGATGTGTACAGGCTCAAGATTAAGAAAATTAATTTTTTTTTCCTGCTTCACTAACAACAATCGTGAAAGACACTGTTTTTTCTTGCCAGTGTTTAGTTCCAAGAGCATAATGGCTTCTAGCACAATTCGGTGCCGCTGTCTCGACTCATGCTAAAGCACCAGCAGTTCTTCCCACGGTTACTTTTATACCGTTGGTGCAAATGTCAAAGCCCTTGGTGCAAATGTTAAAGCAGTGGGTAAAAAGGCAATCAGAATCTCAGTGTTCTTAAGCAAACAGAGCCCTTGCAAGAGTCTGAGAGCCACCATCATACGCATGGCTCTGCAAATGATGCGGGAGAGCAACTCTTCTAATTCAATCTGACTGTAATCCATTTAGTACCATAAGGGAAAAAAAGGGAGCCTTTAAGAATCTGTTATTCATTTTGGTCTCTACAAGAACATTTATAAGTGATAGGTACATTTTATTGTGCAATTTTAGACATCATGCCATAGAATGTAGTGTCTCCTTAATTGATTAATGTAAAATTAGCACAATAATAATTTTATTAAGTGATGTGTTTTATTACATCTCTAAATGTACTTAAAGAGTCTAAATAGTGTAAAAATGAGTGATTTTTCACAAAAGTATAGTTTGAGGTTTATTATTTCTACTTACCTGTTTAAAAGCATATAAAATTGCAATATTTTGAATATATCATCTTACATTACCAATCACCTTGTGATTATCCTACCTGAATGCTCAGGGATTATGTGATGTTGAACCAAGTCCAGATCTTCATCTGATCCCTGTTTGACCAGTTTTATTTTCCCAGAATATTCTGTACCTTTATTATCCTTACTGTCTCTTCTTTCCTCTGGATTGCTGCTTTCTGAGCAGTCCTCTTTACCAGAATTTAACTTGCTTGCAGTTTCAACCTAATAATAATTTCCAAAACAGGTTCCAAAAAATAATGTATATTCTTAAACTTTCATATTTCAGAATATTTAACACTAATGGAAGCATATGTGGAGATAGATATAAATATGTACACTTGTATTAAAGTACCTAGAACTATAAATTTTTAATTAAATGTAATTTAAATGCACAATTAACTCCAATAAGAATTACACCAAATATGCACCATTCTTCAGCAATCTTTAGCAGTTTTGGAGAACAGCTGCATCCAGGCTGCCAGGCTCTGGGGATAACCAATAGTGGACCCCACTCTGAGTTTATACTGATATAAACAGTCCAAGTTCTAGAGCTAGCCTGTCCATATGACTCCTGAAAAGCTAAAAGGTGGTGAATTGAGTTCTGATATCCTTCTAATGAGCATCTACTAATCAGAATCATGTACTTTCGTTATTTTTACACTATTCAGTGTTTCTGTTTCATCTGCATTTCCCTTTAGATTTTAGCAAATTTTCCATTTTGGAAAAAACAGGCATGGCTGTGTGTTCCTGAGAGAGAAAAAAAAAAAGACAACCATAGTTGGATCAGGAGAAAACAAGGGTCATAGGATTCTGAGGTCATTACGTGGCAGTAAGAACACTGCCTAAAACAGAGATGAGTTCCCAAAGGAGCCCCTGGCCCTCTCCAGAAGGGATCCCTCTGCTCAGCCCTCCAGCTCCACCTTTAGAAGTTCCCTGTGCTCCTCTGCCCACAGGCTCACTCTCCACCACAGTAATGTTTGTGCAGTCCCCTTGCAAATTTTGGGGACAGAAGACCAGTCACAGTGAGAAATAAACTGCTAGGAATGCAGTTCACAGGGGCAAATACCTCTCTGCCTGGCCCAGGATAGAAACCTAGCAGGACCAAGCTCCTCAAGATTAAAAGCAAAAGTGACGTCTAAACTCCTGATAGGAAGCTGGAAAAATATAAAGCGGCCATCTCTGCATGCCCAGTCGCCAACTCTGGCCCTCAGAGGTTTGGGCATGGCTGCAGGAGCAGGAGTAGCTTTCTAATAATCTTTGAGTTACAGTCACACTGGTGTGACCTAGAGATCCCAGCTCCCTCTCTTGCTGACCTGCTGGTTTGGAGAAACTGAATTCTTGTATCCAATCCCTTGCTGCTAGGAATGCCTAGAGTGCTATTTCTTGCATTGAATCGTAAGAGACAAAATTTCTAACAGTTCTATAGCGTAAAATCTGGTCCATAAATTTTTTAAAATTTGTATGGATTTATTAATTTGCAGGACTTTTTTCCAAAGTAAGTTTTAAAACTTTTTCCTGCAACCTGAAAAGGAATAAATTATGCTGTATCACAGATGAGGAAACGGACTGTTTTTAAAAATTAAGATTAAATAGCAGATAACTAGTCTGGAAAAGGAAGTCATGACCAAATAATCTACCTATGAAATATATACCACACAGCCTCAGATCACTGTTTTAAACACTGCAGCTTTTTCATAGTAAGTACTGATGGATACATATTGGAGTAAAACCTTCCCTATGAAGGAAAAAGAAACACACTCCAAAATAAGAAAGGGGTAAGAGGAAGCTAGAAGGTAGGAGTACTTTCATAATTAAACAATCTAGAGTAAAATCCAAAAAACCAGTAAATGATCCCTGAACACACTCTCTAAAGAGGAAATTTAAAATGGATAGTAATAATCATCCTGGTTTTATCAGCCACAGAAACTAGGAGGAGGCAGTCAATTCATTTCTAAGCAGCACGTTACCTTGCAGGGCCCTGGTTCTGGTGAGAGCACCTCTAAAGAAACACTCGAACTCCTGCTCCCGGGACGTGTTCTTGAACTTGAGGCTGGTTTTGAAATTCCATCTAGGTTGCCCTTTATTATATCCATTGACATCCTAAAACAAAAGCATTAAAAAGCAAGACACTCAGATGTTTAAATGATGGTTAATGTTTATATCCAATTACTCAGAGTCTTGTTTTAAGTATCATATTATGACAAAAGTCACATTTCAGGGCTCCCCAACTTCACCCAAAGTCTTCTTGAGTACATGACCTTATGTCCTCATAGTACAAAACATACTCACTGCCTGCAAAGGAACTAAAGGAGAACACAGAAAAGATCATCATTTCCCTGATGTCCTGTGCCTACAGGAGAACACATGGAAGGAATCTGGGTCTTCCCCATCTCTCAGCAAAGGTCTACTTCGTGTTGACCATTTGCTAAAGCCTTCCTGTTACCTTCTTCTGGTTTTACCTTTCTTACTCTATGCAGCGCAGTTGAAAAACACAGTGAATGTTTAAATTCTTTAAATTAATACAGTAAAAGACAGATTGCCGTTGGTTCCCCTCAAAATACTCCCCCTTGCTCTAAACACGCTTATCCACTCATTCCTGCCACTTTTTGAAGCTGTTCTGTGAGTCCGCTTTTGTGAGTGTCTGGTTGTGCTGTCATGGCTGCCTTGATATCCTGAAATGATTGAAAACCCCAACTTTTCATGTTTATTTTCACTTTGAGGAAGTTGCATGGTACTAGATACAGTAAACAAGACAGATAAAGCCACAGTGTGATGTTCACAAGCCTCTTTTTCTGCTGGATGGTATTCACAGCATTTATCATTTTTTTTAACACTCCACTAAAGGCACAAAGAAAGGTCCTCCAGAATGGCTTCAGAAAGTAGCAGATAAATGTGCAAGGGCAGGGGAGTGGTGTGAGGGAGATTAACAACAATGTGTCTTTACTGTAATAAACTTTTAAACTTAAGGTTCATTGTATGTTTTAATCACATCTTACAGCCTTTCCTGCTCTCTGCTTAGGCTTGAGATTCTCTCCAATTCTCTTCCAAACTTCTCCTTGATGCCACATTTTTGTTTTTTAATTGCTTATTTTTTATTCTTTATTATTACGTTTGCAGAACATAATGATTACACTTATCATGGGGAACTGGTACATGTCCATTACATGTCTTAACTGTTTTTACTTTCCTTCTTCTCTGTCCTCCCTCCCACAACGTTTTTAAAGTGCAACCATCTCTGTGGCACAGCTCTCCCCGGATCAGCCCTCCTCTTCTAAAACCCATGGTTGTACTTCCACCATCAGATACTCTTCACACTGGTTATTCTATTCCTGACACTGTTGTCTAAAGCAGGAAATCCTCGACAGTGATGACCCAGGCTGCAGGAGCATCATGGACATAGCGGGCACACTGATCCTTCCACACTATGCCCTCCATCAGGCCCTTTCCGGACTTTTTCAGTGATGGTGGAGTAATGTGGATGCTGAATAAAATGGAAGAAACAAGAAAAACTGTCTAGCTTTGGTCTTCTAACTACATAGCGTTACATGTGAATGGGTATTTTCCACCAAATTCTAATTCCTACATTTGTTTATTAAATCATTCCCTCATAACAGAACAAAGGACAATTGCCTGTGCCCTTCAAAGTGTGACAATCATCTTTCTTTCTGTCTGTCTGTGAGTCAGAAATGCAGAGTCCAGAGAGGCTTTGGATGTAGGAGGAATCCAAATATTGCCAACCCAAGCTTCTCCTAGGAACACGGAAAGTTAATATGATTTGGCCTCCAATCATTCAATGTGCCAAGGCTGACACTTGAGCAACAAGTAGGTCAACTCTTTCTGTCTTGGCAACTGAACAAGTCATTGATATCAACATTGTTCACACTGTGCCAGGGTTTGGGCTCACCGGCATTACTACCGTGGGGTGATGGACCACCCTAGCCCTTCATGTCACAACCAAGAAACACAAGTCACCAAAGGGCCAAAAGTCTCCTAAGCATACTGAGCATGCTGTCGAGGGAGACGCATTGCAGGATACAGAGGGAGCAGCAACACAGAGGCGGGTGCAGAGCCGCCATAATACATGTCAGGAAAGACAGACACACAAAGGCATGGGTTCACATGGTGGTATTCACATAGCTTTTCTCTCTGCTTTCAGAATGGGTCTGCTCTACTATGTTCTCCCCTGAAAACAGTGAATTAAATTAAATACAGTTCCCGGGAAAGGTGAGCGTAAGTGACAGACTATCTTTGAATTAATTTGGACTTGTGGGGAAAAGTATGGATAAAGAACATTAAAGTCAGATCTTAAAAGATATATTTGAGTATTTGAGAAGACATGTCAATTGTTACATAGACATCCCACAAGAAAAGTAAAGCACTGCGTAAGTCAGAACTCGAACAATGTGTGCCTATGGTTGCACACATATTGTGCCTTAATTATGGAAAGGCATGTGCAAAAGGAGGGGGCATATAAAAACCTTAATCTATCAAGACAGGGGATCAAGAAGAATGTTCAAAATTGATAAAGTCAAATAATAGTTAGACATGATATTTAAGAGTGCAAGATGTTTGCCTCTGGGGAATAAAAGAGTAATTGCTATGTTTTCCCTCCATTGAAAATGTTATAGTAAAATTGGACACTCTTTACTATAATACTTAAATAAAATAAAAACTAATTTTAAAGTCAATAAATGTAAAACATTGAATCTTCAAAGGACTAGAAGGAAAACAAAGATAATTTGCATAATGATGGATTAAAGATTTATTAAGCATGACTCCAAGAATGTAAATCAAAGAGAGACTAATAATTTGATTATATAACTTTAATGTTTGTGAATCTCAAACATAACTAAAAGACTTCTAAATGAAATTAAAAAGCACCAAAACTGGGGAAAATGTATTCAACATTAATTACATACAAAAGTTTAATAAACTTAGATATTTAAGGAGTTTTACCAATCAATCGGTAAAGGGAATATTCTAACAGAAGACTGGCTAAGGTAGTAAGCAAGACTATATATTGGAAGGAAGGAGGGAGAGAGGGAAGACAGGAGGAAGGAACTGTAAGGGAAATAAACAACAACAAAAGAAGCATAAAAAGGACCAAGGAGATAGAACATTTGCAAAATGAAGGGGGACTGAGAGATGGAGGAAGGAGAAAGGGAAGAGAAGGGAAGGGAAGGGAAGGGAAGGAAAGGGAAGGGAAGGGAAGGGAAGGGAAGGGAAGGGAAGGGAAGGGAAGGGAAGGGAAGGGAAGGGAAGGGAGGGGAAGCGAAGGGAGGGGAAGGGAAGGGAAGGGAGAAAAGAAGAATTAAAAGATGTTATGTTCATGTACCAATTCTCCATGATGAATGTAATCATTACATACTCCAAACATACTAACAATTTTTTAAAAGAAAAAAGGAAATGGAGAGGAAAGAAAGAGAAGGGAGGAGAGAAGAGAGGAGAGGAGAGGAATATAAATTGCCAATAATCTTGCTTAGAGCCCAATTTTCTAATTCAATGAATATACAGTAAGAGAAATGATCACCCATCAGCAAAGAGTAGTAGGCAGTAAGAGTGGTAGGAACAGCCATAACTTCTATGTTGCCAGTAAGAATACAAAACGGAAAATTCAGTTTGCAAAACTGTTGGTAGTTTTTTATCAGTGACACAACTGAATGTTCCTGTGTCTTTTTTTGCCTCTTACTTACATGTATTTTTTGTTTTTTCGATGATTTATACCTTGAATTCATAAATAATTTATTTGTTGTAGAAATACTTCTAATATTATTGAAAAGTATTTAAAAACTTAAAAACCACCCAACATTCTAACACTCTAAACTGTTCATTGCTGGTACATTTCTGTTTTTTTCTCTATGCCTTTTTCAACAAAATTGGATTCACATCTTCGTCACCTGCCATTATATGAGAAGCATATTTCCTTATGATATTAAAATATTTGGAAATAGAATAGCATTTACTTGATGATATTTAATTATATAGATATATGTCAACAAGTCACTACAGATATGTCAACTTTTCATGACATTCACTTCAAACAAGATTAATTTAAACTTTTTCACATATGCTGTAGGAAACACAACCTCCATAAAATGATTTAACACCCAAGTGGCAATATATGGTGATTATAACTGATTGTTTTTGATGAATGAAAGAATCAAAAGACAGTGAGTCCTCCTCTGCTGGGTAATTAGAACAGCAAACCTAACAATGGAGATTTAATTTATTTTCATGATCCTTAGGTCTAAAAATTACTTACAGTCTTTTTTACTTTGTACATATTTTTATTATATAAAAAGAATACTTGTCCAGGAAAGACAAAAATCAAATAATACAGAATAAGGTAAAAGTTTTTAAAATAAAAATCCCTCTCAAGAACCAATGTTATTTTTAGGCATATACAAACCCTCTATCCTTTATACTACCCTAACTCCCATCACAAACACTCATAAATGGCCTAGTGTTTTGAAACATTCTTTTTCACATGAAACATATTTTAAAGATATTTTTCTATATTAACATTTTATATTAACATTTTCTATATTAACATTTTTTCTATATTAACATTTTTTCTATATTAACATTTTTTTCTATATTAACATGCTTCATTCTTTCAAACAGAAGTATAACATAGCAGTGCATAGACATAGCATTTGTAATTAACTCATGTTGAATTTGCTATTAAAAGCAATTTTTAAATTTACTGAAAATCAGTATCAGGCCTGAAGTAACTCTTAAAAGTACAATATGTTTAGAAAATATGTGACTGTGGATTAAGCAAAGACTTCTAAGATGTAACATCAAAAGCATGATTCAGAAAGTATTTATCAACTGGGATGTATCAAAATTTAAAACTTGTATTCTTCAAAAGACATTGTTAGTAAAAAGAAAACAAAATCCAAAAAGCAGGAGAAAACAGCTACAAAACACATCTCTGACAAAGAACTTGTATTCAGAATATATAAACAAGCAGCAAGAATCGATAATAAGAAAAGCAGAGATTTGGATACATATATTGCCCAGGAAGATGGAGGGACGCCAAATTAACACATGGAAAGATGTTCAGCCTCAGCAGCCCTCTGGATTTTAAAACCACAATGAGAAACCACTATACTCCCACTTAAATGGCAAAAATTAATTTTTTAAAATTGACAGTACCCAGCCCTGCAAGTTGGGGAATAACCAGAACTCCTATGCTCTCAGTGAGAATACAAAATGGAGAAGCCAGTTGGCAGTTTCTTATCAAGTTAAACATGTACCTCGCATTCAAATAAAAACCTGTACATGAATAGTTATAGTTAAATATTTCCCAAAACAATTCAAATGTCACTCCACTAGGAAGTGGATAAGCAAACTGCTACTAACCAAAATACATCAGCAGGGAAGGGAACAAGCAACTAGTACACAGAACTTGGATGAGCATCAGTTGCATTGTGTTAAACAGAAAGAAGCCCATTCGGAAAGTGACATGGTGTTTACTTCCATCAGTATAACATTCTAGAACAGGCAAGCTGTAGAGACAGAATACTGACGAATGGCTGCCAGACAGGAATGCCAAGGGTGCTAACTACAGAGTACTAGGGTGGGCGCGGGGTAGTAAAACTGTGTTGTCTTGTGGTGGTAATTGTGTAACTGTGTCAAAATTCAGAGAACTGTACATTGGTAAACAATACATCAACTCTAAATTAGAATCTTTGTGTCAACCTTTAGTTAAGCTCTACATCCGTAAGATAAATCAGAATTGCTTTATCAAAGAACACCTGTGTTTCTAGTTTGGGTGTCTGCCAACCTGTGCTCCAAATCGATTACACCAAATTACATTACCACCCACGGGGTTCGCTGACATTACAGGGCCTATGTCCACTCCTTGGCTTGGCACCATTCTGTTCTCCACAAAGCCTGGTCGCCTTTGCCAACCTGATAGAGGTCCAAAAGACTGTTGTGAGTCTGTTGACATTCCTTTAATTATGAGAAAAGTGAGCCCCTGATTACACATTTATCAGCCTTTTTTATAGACCTTAGTGGCTGGAAGGCACGGAAAGGTGGAGCCCTAACCTTGGGGACACTTGCAGTCAGGTGCAGGAAGTCGGCCTCTGGGACTGAACCTGCCCGCTCAGTCCACTACGTCCTCTCATTGGCTCTGCCCGCCGCGTCCTCTCATTGGCTCTGCCCACCTCCCCACAGCCCGCCCTCCACCACGCAGCCGGACAAGACTCCGCCCACACGATGGCTGGTCCTGGGGTTCCTGTCTGTGCAGTCCCTCACCTTTCAGCCGGAGTCGGAGCTAGTAACCTGTCGCCAGAGCACTGAAGGCACACAAGTGCGCCGCTGCCACTCTGAATATCACCCTTTTACCCCAAAGGGTAGAGCCCTTTCCTACTGCCTCAGCTTCTCAACAGGTGGGAGATGAGAGCGATCCAAAGTCAGGAACGCGGTTTCCCTGGCAACCGGACACACGCCACGCCCAGTCTCGCGATAGGAGGAAAGGGCCATACCATCTAGAAATGGGATCTGGGGGCAGGCAGCCGGGAAGACTAGTGCAGAGGGGCGGGGGTGAGCGACTGGGCGCCCTGCTGTCTCCTCAGCCTTTGTGGTGGAGGGCTGCTGGGGAAAAGGCAATATTTGGATTTAGATTGGCCTCAGTACGAGGACTGGATGTCTGTGTGATTGTGTCCTATCACTCTGATGCCAGCTCCCTTTACTGAGCTCAGTTTTGTCCATTGCAAGATGAGGCTTATCATTATTTCCTCCTTGCAAGACTGGCGTACAGGTCGAAGAGATCATGCATGCATGGCTCTTGGTAAATTTTAGGCAATGTGTAAATAACAACAACAAAAAACTAGTTTTGCACAGATTGGCTTGTAGTCTAAAAGGATTAATAACTGCTATTTGCACCTTTTTTCGTAGTTTCCCTAATTGTCAGTCCATGGTTTCCCCTGGAGCTCATAGCTGATTTTCCTCATCCCTAGTACAATCAGATGTCTGATGCATTTGAATCTGAACAGCACTACACAGTTAATAATGATCCACCTGTCGTTAATTAGGTAGGTAGGATGTGTATTTCTTCAGTCTCTCTCAGCAGAGTAAATAGACATAGGTCCATGAAATTGCCCAAAGAATAGGGCTATAATCTATAGCAATGCTGGCTGTAAAAACTTTGTGAGTATAAGTGCCATCTGTATGCTGCTGAATTCTATTTTTCTGTCCCTAGTCCAGACTTCTGCCCCAAACCCAGATTCCTTTATGCGTACTTGATAGTTCCACTTAGATGTTGTCTTAGTTTTCTTGTTGCTGAGACAAAGTACCTTACACCCAAAGTTAAAAGAAGGAAGATTTATTTAGCTTACAGTTTGTGGAGGTTTCAGCCCATAATTTTCTCCAAAATAGCAGAAGAGAATAGTCATGGTGGGCAGAAAATAGCAAAACAACAAGGGGGCAGGGAACAAGACTTTTTCTGTTCCTTATATTGTATCCAGGCTACAAGCTCTAGGGTGAGTGTAGACCTCACACACTTCATCCCAGCACTGGATCATGAATCAATCACAAACTCTAGAATCAACAACCACTGAAAAGTTCGCCTCTACCCACTCGTGACTGCATGAGGCTTTGAGGGGACGTCTAGACACAAGCCATAACAGATGTATAAGAAGAATCTCAAACTTAACACATCAGTAATCAAAACTCCTCTTCCACAGTGCCCCTTCTCAGCAAATGACTCCATCCTTCCAGGCTCAGCAAATGACTCCATCCTTCCAGGCTCAGACCAAATATTATAACTTCATCCTCAGTTCCTCTTCCTCTCACACTCTACAATTGCTAAATATCCTGCTGGCCCTGTATTCAAAAGATAATGCAGAATCCAAACACTTCTCACACTTTTATTGCTTCCATTCAGGTTCTCACTGCCATCATCTTTCACCTAGATTTTTACAATAACCTAACTGTAGTTTTGTTGTACAAGGACCTTTCTCTGGCTGTAATAGTTAACTTGAGTTAGTCAATTTGTGTAAAAAACACTGGATTGATTGGCTTAGCATAGTTTTGAGTGTGACTGTATGATAGACTTATTAAAAACAGAAGACCTCACCCTGGGAGTGAATGGCACCAACCACGGATTTAAAAGGGAAGGAAAACAGAAGTCAGGTGTGCTTCTTTGGGGGAGCTTCAGTCCTCACCGTCCCTTTTAGGTGTCTGTCTCCAGCGCTGCAGTGCAGAATTCATCTTTCCAGCCCAGATTCTTGCAGACCTTTCACCTTCCCAAAACAGGCTCCCACAGGACCCCGCAGTGAGCTTCAGGTCTTCCGCCTTCAACTGCATTGTTTGGCTCTCCAGTGAGCAGACATCCCTGCTATATTCACCCACGTCTGACTCTGGAGCATTGGAGCATACCTTATAAATCCCCTATACTGCCCTACTCTACTTTTAACACAGAAGCCTGAATTCTACCCTCAATATCCAAGCCAAACCACATCACTCTTCTATTCAGAGGTCCCCCTGGCACTCCATTTCATTTAGGGTCCCAAACGATCAAGTCTCTGTCTCTCTAGTCCTACTACACTCTGAATGGGAAACTTTGCTCCAACCTCACTGTTAGTGTACAGGAATTTCTTTTCAGAATTTTTCAGGAACTGTGATGTTTTCTAAATTCAAGTTTTGTAAAAATTGAGAAATCAAGAAAATGGGAGGAAGTATTTTAGTTCTCAGAGAAGAATTAAGCCTTAACAGCCAACATAGAGTTGCTAATGAGGAAATTCACTGAGGTTGAGTGTAAAGCAAGAGCAGAAATGCTCACACCGAGTCAGAGGTTGAGGTCAGCATTTTCCAGGAGCTCTGGGAGAGGCATGGTTGAGGATCTGACCGTCATTGCTTATAGCATGTTATATATCTATTCTGACCTTGTCTGCTGCAGTAAATCTTCCTTCCAAGTAAATACTAATAAATTGATATGCATATGTATAATACATATTCAATGAGCAATGTTTCAAGAAATGAATTTGGGATTCAATATAAATCCTTACATTGACAGTTTCCAATTTATGATACTAAGTTGTGCTGTATATGAACGTGGGCTAGGGAAGTAGGAGAGCAGCTCAGTGGCAGAGAGTAGCTCGCCTAGCATGGGTTCAATACCCAGCACCACCAAGGAAAAAATGAAAGAAAAAAGAAAAGAAAAGGCTTTGTAAAGAGGATCCATAAGATAGCTGGAGAGCTGTACTCACATCTGCTAAAGGTCAGAGCACAGAATGTTCCAGAAGAGTTAAATAAACAGCTGAGGGCAATATGGCAGGCCTTTAGCACTCTTAGGTGGGAGTAACCTAATTTCAATTTAGGGATTCTTCCCAGCCAATAAATAGCTTCCCAAAACTGTTCTTTGTGGAAAGCCCCTATTTAAAAAGAAGAAGAAGGAGAAGGAGAAGAAGAAGAAGAAGAAGAAGAAGAAGAAGAAGAAGAAGAAGAAGAAGAAGCCACCACTCCTTATTGTGACACTATTCCAGGATGGCCTGGTTCGGTGTATCCAAACTGTTCTTTCCCAAAGATGCTCTGTATCCACCTTCTGCTAGGTAACAGTTATATTATTTAAATACTACCCAACACTGTTCTCCTGTTCTCCATTATTTGAACATGTGTTCTATTTGTATCCTTATAACACTTCTAGCTAAGCATGGTAATCACATGCACTTGGGAGACTGAGGCAGGAGGATTACCACAAGTTCAAAGCCAACTTGAACTATACAGCAAGACTCTATCTCAAAAAATTCTTTCAATGAACACCTCTAAAATTAACAGTTCTTTTTGTTAAACAAATATTTCAGATAGACATAATAACAAAGAATATGACAGAGGTTGGCAGTATTTGAAGAATAAAGGGCAGCTGAGCATGATAGCACATGCCTGAAATCCCAGCTACCTGAGAGGCTGAGGCAGGAGAAGTCTGAGGTCAGCTTGGACAGTTTAGTGAGATCTTGTATCAAAATTAAATTAAATTAAATTAAATTAAAATATGAGTCACTCAATGGTAGAGCACTTCTCTAGCATGTATGAGACCTTAGTTTCCACACCAGTACCCAGAAAAGAATAAGGGGCTAGCTTAGTGGTAGAGGTGCCACTTAGTGTTATGGTCTAGGGGCTAAAGGAGTATTTTTATGGGTGAGTTCCTCAAAAGAAAGCACATAGACAGACATCAGCAAATCGGCAAGCAAGCCAGCATCTTTGCTGCCGAGCCCTTATATATGTTGTTATCACGTATTTACATTTTTGTATACTGACGTAACCGTGTGGCGCATGCGTAGTCGCCTGTGCTTCATCATGGTTACATAAGTGTGTCCTGCTGTGCGCCTGCACCAAATAAAGTCACGTCCTCGGGTGTCCTCACACACCCGAGCTTTGGAGCAATCTTGAAGTGGCTCTCCATGCTTAAGCACAAAGCCTTCATTTAATCCCTGGTACTGAAGAAGGAGAAGGGAAAGAGGGAAAGAAGAGTAAGAGAAGAAAGGGCAGGAGGAAGAGGGGGAGGGGAGGAAGAGGCAGAAGAGAAATAGAACAAGACTTTAAGAATGCAAAGCAGTTTTGGTTTCCTGTTTCTATATCCCAAAGATTAGTAGCTGTTGGGATCCCTACTCCTCCCTGTTGTTATTGTTTCTGTTTTGTTTGTTTGTTTTTGCATTACAAATCAGCACACACACCCCTCACTGCTTCTGTGTGGAGCTGCATGCAGCTGTCCCTCCCTTTCTCAGGTGACAGTTTTTCTCCAGGAGGCATTTGCTGTATAAAATAACCACATGCGCTCCTCACCCTCTGTCCCCTGGAGCCTCTACGTTAGCTCCCACTCCTGGACAGAACACCAGAGATAATGAACTTACAATGGGGAAACATGTCCGGGTTCGCAGTTTCAGAGATTTTAGTCCATTGTAACTGGGCCCTGTAGCTTTGGGCCTGTGACATGTTCAAGGGGGTGGGAGCAGCACATGGTAGAGGAGACTTGTTCACCTCACCCGCCCTGACAGCGCTGAGGACAGCCAGGGCCTCATATTCATCCACAAAGTCCTAATCTCTTTCTACCAGACGCCACGCCCAAAGATCCTTCCGCCTCCCAATGGACCAGTGGCTTTAACTTGCAGACCTTCAGAGGACATTTCTCCAAACTATAGCACTTTTTGATTTTTGGTTTTGGTTTTTGTTTTTTTGTACTGGGAATCAAACTCACAAGTTTGCGTTTGCCAGGCAGGCACCGTGCAGCTGAGCTGCACGCCTGGCCTAGCACTTTTTTTTAAATAAGGAAGACAGGTACTAGTAGTTGGATTCCAACACTAACCAGCTGGGAGATTTTGGGTAAATCCATGAACATTGTGGGCCATAATTTTCTTCTTTGAAAAGTGAGGTTGGTACAGTGTTGCAGTTTTTAACTCTCCTACACGTTAGAATTACTTGGAGAGATT